AGGGATGTGTTGAAGGATGTTGGGGTTGTAGATGTTGTGGGGAGGGGAGGAAATCTGGTGGAGCATACGTTCACATGTAGGGGTTATGAGGCGAGATTGGACAGGATCTGTGTTATGCAGGGGATAGGTGTGGGGAGGGTGAGGGCTTTCGGTGTAGGATTTTCTGATCATAGGGCAGTGATAGCAGATCTGTTGTGGGATGGCATGGTGCGTATTTACTCTGGGTACTGGAAATTAAATTATGGGAGGCTAGGGATAAAGCAATGAAGCTGCTAGATTGGTGGGAGATACAGGCTAAGACGGGGATAGCGAATTTTTTTAAGGTTAGGGGACAGGAAGAGGCAAGGTGGCATTATGGGTTGCAGAATTATCTGGAGGGTCAGTTGCATGCCTGTTATGATGGGGGGGGGGTGGCAGGGTGGGGACATAGAAAGTCTCCTGGGTAGGATAGCCGAAATACATAATGAACGGTTTGATGCAGTAAGGGTTAGAGGATGTATTGTGGGAAGATAGGCCGTCCGGGTTTGTGTTACATAAATTTCGAGAACGTCGGAAAGTGACCACCTTATTATATTTGGAGGCAAGCTCTGGGGTGGTTGGTTACGCAGAGGGTCAGGTCCTATCCACCACGGACAGTATGAGTCATTATGTCAATCGTTGGTTTAGAGAAATGGAGGAGGAGGGGGGTTCCTGGGAGGGGATTTTCGAGGGGGGTATCAGTAGCATTTTAAGTGAGCAGGACAGGGTGGGGTTGGAAAGTAGTATAAGTGAGGTTGAGGTGGAAGCTGCGGTTTTCGGGATGAGCACTGGTAAGACACTGGGGATAGATGGTATACCAAATGATTTTTATAGAGCTCATTGAGGGTGTATAAGGCATTGTTTGGTAGGGGTATTGAATTATATGTTAAGTGGGAAGTTGGGCAAGTCACAAAGTACCAGTGTCATAGTGTTGGTGCCAAAGCAGAGTGGGGAAAGAGTTTTGAGTGCTTATCGAGCAATATCTCTGATGTGCATGGATTATAAGGTTTTTGCGAAGATTTTAGGAAATAGGATGAAGGTACTGGGGTCGGTGATGCATAAAGGTCAGTATGGAATTCCGGGGAGTACGAGGTTAGGCCATGGGCGTATCAGGGATTTTATAGAGGGTAGTAGGGGGAAAGTATTCTGGGTCTGGATTAGGAGAATGCCTATGATTGTCTGGATAGGGATTTTTTGAGTGAGAGTTTGGTAAGGTTCGGCATGGGGAGGAAGGGTGAAAACCTTGTATGCTGGTGCTACGATGAGAGTACAGGTCAATGGTAGGTTGGGTGGTCCTGTAAGCATGGAGAGGGGTTTGAGGCAGGGGTGCCCACTCTCCCAAATTCTCTTTGCAAGTATACAGAACCCTTTCTATGGGCTTTTTGATGGGACGGTAGGGATGGGGGTGGGAGGGGGCTGCAGTGGGGGTGTTGTGGGTTATGTAGATACTACTGTTTTCATTAATGTGGAGGCTTTGTGTAAGGTGGGAAGGGTAATAGAGATGTTTGGGGCTGCTACGGGAATGAGGGTTAATAAGCGAAAATCACGGTTACTGCAGGTGGGAAATTGGGTTGGATGGAGATTGGGAGAGGTTTGGTTGGATAGCAGTGGAAAGGCTCAAGATCTATGTGATTTGGTACTTGGCAGATGTACAGGAGGGCAGAAGGGTTAATTCAGAAATGGTAATGGATAGAACTTTGGGAGGGCTTAGGAGTTTCCGGGCCGGGGATGTAACCTTTCATCAAGTGGTGGTGGTAAATTCACTGGTCTATAGTAAGATGTGGGGAGTGGCTGAAGTCTATCCCTTAAGGAAGCAGGATATTATGGAAATACAAAGGAGAGTCTTAAGGTATGTGTGGGGTTTTGGGAGGGCGTGGTGGTAATGACCGAGGTACGACAGGGAGGAGTGGGTCTGATGGCATTGGGACCTAGGGTGAAGGCACTATGTTAAGCAGAGGTACATTCGGGCAGGGGGGAGAAAGGGGTATTCAGAGGGGAAAGGTGATGAGGATGTTCACAAATGGTGGTGGCAGGGACTTAGTGGAGTGTGAAGATTTGTTGAGGTTTTTGTTAACGGTTCACAATGTTAAAAATCTCAGGGTGAAGAGGTTGGTGGGTGTAGGTTGTCGTTAGGAATCACTGCAGGGGGTGGCCGTGTATCCCACGTATGATTGGAAGGTGATACGGGTGGAATTTAGTAAACTAAGGATACTGGCAAGGGTGAGGGAATTAGTATATAGATTTCTTATGGGGACTTGGGCATCGACAGAGGTGCTGAGAAAAATGGGTTTTGTGAGCGAGGCGTCTTGCACTCATTGTGGGGAAGTGGAAACTGCATTTCATGCAGTATATTTTTGTTCTTTGGAGGTGGTGAGATTGTGGATGAGTTTTTTTTTTTCGTTTACTGGGGGGGGGGGTCAGATATCACCCCTTAGGGCTTTAATGTTAGATGTGGGAGGGGTGACCAGCGAGGTGGGGAGGGCTATCAGGTACATAATAGTTGATTACTTGTATGTTTCTTGGGGGATGTGGGAGGTGGGGGGAAACATTATGATTAAAGCGTTACCTGGAGAGAGTTCCGGGGGTCAACGCCCCCGCGGCCCGGTCTGTGACCAGGCCTCCTGGTGGATCAGAGCCTGATCAACCAGGCTGTTGCTGCTGGCTGCACGCAAACCAACGTACGAGCCACAGCCCGGCTGATCAGGAACTGACTTTAGGTGCTTGTCCAGTGCCAGCTTGAAGACTGCCAGGGGTCTGTTGGTAATCCCCCTTATGTGTGCTGGGAGGCAGTTGAACAGTCTCGGGCCCCTGACACTTATTGTATGGTCTCTTAACGTGCTAGTGACACCCCTGCTTTTCATTGGGGGGATGGTGCATCGTCTGCCAAGTCTTTTGCTTTCGTAGTGAGTGATTTTCGTGTGCAAGTTCGGTACTAGTCCCTCTAGGATTTTTCAGGTGTATATAATCATGTATCTCTCCCTCCTGCGTTCCAGGGAATACAGGTTTAGGAACCTCAAGCGCTCCCAGTAATTGAGGTGTTTTATCTCCGAGTTTTTATAGGACAGCATGTAGGAACAAACTATTGTATGGGGGAAGTAACCAGTTTTCCAGAGGGCTATCGCGGCCTCACTGTGGCACTACTACTCCACTTGGTACCGGGGTAGGGCGGCAAGGGTTGGTCTCCTCAGGAGTGTGTTTCATAGGAGTGAAGGGATGCCTGACTAGGTTGCATGGTGTGGTTGTGGGTAACTGTTTTGCAGCAGTCGGAAGGTTGTGTGCTATGACATGAATGTGACCTTTTTTATTGTACTAATAAGGCACTTACAGTTGTTCTTCACATTGTGAGCATCACACCGTGACTGCCACAGGTTCAGATTAGGTTGTAACACTGGTCCCTGGGTGCTGAGGGGGCAGGTTCTATTCTGTTGGTTCAGTATTCAGATGGTATGTGGAGAAGCTGAGGGTTGAGACTCCTTAGTGGTACTGGTCTGTGTTGATTCTGTTTGGTTAGGTCCCTTTTAGATAATGATACAGTAGTATCAAGATTGTTTTTTTTTTTTTGATGCTCCTGTTTATAGTGTTTTGTGGGTTATATTTATATTATTAAGACCTGTTCTTATCTGTGTAAGAGGGTATGTTGACAATCGATACCTGCATGTTACATGAAATATTTTCATTGGTAGTACCTGCTGAAGCAAGGTAACCCCTGTGTGAGGGTTCTAGTGTATACAGACCTTATGACCTTTGTAAACTCAGTGTTACACGTGAGTACGAGATGTTATTCTTTTACCATTATACGTACCCTTTTGTATATAGGGTTATATACTTATGTATATGTAGGGGACAGGTTTTGTGTATGTTACGGTGACAAGGTTTTGGCCGGGGTAAATGCATAGAATGCATCATGCGTGTGGTGCATTAGCATGGATTATTATTGTTTTGTTATGGTTAGAGTATTTTATGAACTGTAATGATCTTAGTTAAGCTTCTTAAGGGTAGGTAATTGGTTTATACCGCTGCATGTTTCTGTTAGTAGATCGTGTGTATGATCCGTTTAGGAGAGTGTAGTTAGCAGGTTTGAAAAGCCTATTTATGAGTGGTTAGCGAGACTAATTCAATGTTAGTCCTTTCCTAGTATTGTGTATCCTGTCCTTGTATGTTTTGAAACATAATTTAGGGGAAAATTATGAACTCTTATAAGCATTGTAAGTCTTTTATGGGGTTCGATATAATTTATAACGAATGGTAGTGTTGTACACTGATTGTAAACTTTAAGCGCCTATGTTGTATTTATGGGTGGAAAGATTTTCCACACCGATGTATAAGTCATCTGGTATTGGTACGTTTTTGTGGGTGTATATATATGTTTTAAGTAATTGGTGTTTATTGAATGACACTTTTTATGTAGTTTTTTGTATTTTCCAATAAGCAATGTAGTTTGGTTTTTAATGGTTATTTGTATTATATATATGTTTAATTATATTTTTTAATTATATGACACATTTATTATTAGATTATTTGTATTTTCCATAAATGTATTTGTGGAGTTTTTAATGTATATATGTATATATATATATTATATATATATATATATATATATATATATATATATAATATACGACTTAGTCTACTTGTATGTCTCTTCCCGTATTGTTTTGGGAGTCGGGACGTTTTCAATAGATGGGTTGTGGTGTTATTGTTTATGGTTATTTTGTAATTATGTGTAAAAATGTTTTGTTTTTGAGGGGTGTACTGTCATTGTATACCTTTTTTTTTTTGTTATTTTGTTGACTTATTTTTGTTATCTATGTTTTTAAATAAAATACAAAAAAAAAATCCAGGGAACCGGAGCACAGATCCGAGTCCCTAGATCAAGAGCCCCTCAAGGAACCTTCCATGAGAGGTAATGCCCTGTAAGCCCCTCCTGCAAGCAACTTACATAATAATAATTCACATATGGGAGACAAGTCAGTACCAAGAAAGGTAGTATTTAAGTTTTACTTCTTTATAAACAAGTAACTAACTGGAAATAGTTTGCATACAGTATTTCAATTAATAAAACGGATAAGTTTAAGTTTATATCACATTTAAATTATAATGTACATGCTCATTTAAAACTAGGAGTACAGGGGCTAACATTTTAGAGAAATTATAATCAACTTTACATGCTTAGTTAAGATTCACAAGATTTCTTAAAGGACAAAAAATAGACTAAAAAAAGAAACCTTTCTTTGCGTTTCATGTGTTGTGTCGAGCCCGACACCAGGCGTTGCCCTTGTTTTTTTTTTTTTCCTTTTCTTCTTCCGCTAATTATATTGAAGCACATCATTTTCATATACGTCAACACTAAATTTAAGTTACAGTCCTCTCGCCATAAACATCCCTTCTACATTTACAAGTGACAATATAGACAAAACTTTTATTCGTTCACCTACAAATACCATATTTTTTGTGAAGTTTAATAAAAATACTAATTAATCATACACTCGTACAGCTGTAAATAACACTCCATATACACCTGATGGGTAAGCGACGTTGAAACAATCATCCAATTTACACTAAATAACTATATATATTTTCTTTTTTACACCTGATATGTCGTCTTCTGATTCAGATAGAATTGCCACCCGGAAACACCGAGGGTGATGATGTAGAGGCAGGCAGCAATGAGGCAGTTGAAGGCATTGGACTTGAAGCCTCGATGGACTTCGTTCATGTATTTTCCAGCATTATCATACAGTCCCTCCAGGGGCAGGTCCTCTAGAAAGGCGGGAGTCTCAGTGTAGAAGAACACTCCCATGATGAGCAGCTGGAACAGTCCCCACACACTGATCAGCAGCACACACAATGACAGCTTGTAACCACAAAATGCCATCACCAGATGCCTTATAAATACTTGACAAGAGCAATTCAGTCTGTAAGTAGAAAATACAATGAATTACACAGATAAAAATAAAAAATAGAGACTGAATGGTAAATTAGTCGAAGATTATAATTATTAATACGTGAGTGTCGGTAAAATAATTGCGTAATTTTTTAAACCAATGTTATAAGATATGGTTACTCAAAATACTATACCATTATAGTACTGTATTAGTCACATTTAATCAGTCAAAATAATGACTGTATACTGTGATATACAGGTATAGTATAGCATAGCATATACTGTACACTTATGAAACCAGTTTTTAAATAAATCTGTTTATTGATATTTTATACAACTATGCTTTATTTACGCACAAATTTTGTAGCTTCATGTATCCTATGGGTGACAGTCAAAATACTGGAGGCACATAATTAGTTCAAGGACCAGGCGCCAACAATCTTTTGGGTAGGCAAGTTAGTGCTTTTATGAAAACCAAGGAGTATAAAACATCAATTGTGTACTTTATATTTAACATATAACATCTCCATATTACAAATACAAATATTAGTTTACTGAAAAAAAAATGGATGGGGACGAACCATGGTCCTTGCATATATATAGGTCACACACTGTACCAAAAACTTAAAATAGGACGATTTTAAGAACATTTCTGAGAAGTTTGCATCAGTGGCACCATGGTATATTTCTCATACCCCTTAAAGCCATACCTGGAGAGGATTTTTGGGGTCAACGCACCCGCGGCCCGATCTGTGATCAGGCCTCCCTGTAGATCAGGACCTGATCAAACAGGCTGTGACTGCTGGCCGTTACGTAGACTGACGTACGAACCACAACCTGTCCAGCTCCTCCTTGAAGACAACCAGGGGTCTACTGGTAATCCCCCTTATGTATCCTGGGAGGCAGTTCAACAGTCTTGGGCCCCTGACACTGTTATCTCTTAGCGTGCTCGTGGCGCCCCTGCTTTTCATTGGGCCGGGGGAGGCTGTACAGCCTGCTGAGTCTTTTGCTTGCGTGGGGAGTGATTTCCGTGTGCAAATTTGGTACTAATACCTCTAGGATTTTCCAGGTGTATATTATCATGCATCTTACCCGCCTGCGTTCCATATACCCCATAAAATTAATGCAAGATGCAATGAGTGACAGTGCCCCGTGGCATGGTGACTTAAGCTCTCACTTCACACAGCGAGGGTAGAAACATTATGCGCATTTCCTTACACCGGTTGTCCATGTTCACATATCAGTAAAATTGAGTACCTGGGTGTTAGTTGACTGGAGTAGGTCGCATCCTGTGACAAAACTGACCTAATTTGGCCGAAATGCTCTGCATAACAAGGAGCTTTCTATATACTAGTAGTATGTCATTGATGCCAGCTAGGCCTGCATACCTTGTACTTGTAGAAAAAAATATTATTAAACAAGACTAACTGTAGTTTTAGTGGCTCGCGAGTCAGCGTTGGGTCTGTTACATGCAAGGACTACGGTTCAAGTCCTGTCCATTTTTCTGTTTATTCACTGACATTAGTTTATTACGACTAGAGTTTATTAATAATTAATACAGGTCAGAATTCAAGGATAGCTTACTGCAATAACAAAAAGACTTCAGGAGGCTGTCGAGATATGCAATCCGATTTTATTTTCATTGTCTCTGTGGCCACAAAATAGAGCGAAACACCAACGTCAAAGACCTGGGAGTGATCATGTCGGAGGATCTCACCTTCAAGGACCATAACATTGTATCAATCGCATCTGCTAGAAAAATGACAGGATGGATAATGAGAACCTTCAAAACTAGGGATGCCAAGCCCATGATGACACTCTTCAGGTCGCTTGTTCTATCTAGGCTGGAATATTGCTGCACACTAACAGCACCTTTCAAGGCAGGTGAAATTGCTGACCTAGAAAATGTACAGAGAACCTTCACGGCGCGCATAACGGAGATAAAACAATTCAATTACTAGGAGCGCTTGAATTTCCTGAACCTGTACTCCCTGGAATGCAGGCGGGAGAGATACATGATTATGTACATCTGGAAAATCCTAGCGGGACTAGTACCGAACTTGCACACGAAAATCACTCACTACGAAAGCAAAAGACTTGGCAGACGATGCAACATCCCCCCAATAAAAAGCAGGGGTGTCACTAGCACGTTAAGAGACCATACAATAAGTGTCAGGGGCCCGAGACTGTTCAACTGCCTCCCAGCACACATAAGGGGGACTACCAACAGACCCCTGGCAGTCTTCAAGCTGGCACTGGACAAGCACCTAAAGTCGGTACCTGACCAGCCGGGCTGTGGCTCGTACATTGGATTGCGTGCAGCCAGCAGCAACAGCCTGGTTGATCAGGCGCTGATCCACCAGGAGGCCTGGTCACAGACCGGGCCGCGGGGGCGTTGACCCCCGAAACTCTCTCCAGGTAAACTCCAGGTATTGGTCCAGGAAGTAGTAAGAACGCCCTCAATGTAACTGAGATTATACAGTGCCAACAGAGGGTTATCAGGCACGTGCCTTAGAGTTCTGAGAATATCATAGGTTATACCATCCTCTCCAGGAGCAGTTGATCGACCTTTGGTTAATGCATTATCTAATTCATACTCGGTAAAGAGGCAATCACTTTCATCAATATTTTGGCTCATAAAATTAATCAGTTTCAACATTTCTTCAGAAGTACTCTCTAAATTTTTTCTAATATGAGATGGAAGGTTTTCATGCCTGGATGTTTTGGACCAGTCATTTATGAGGTCATTTGCTTTTTCAAGAGGAAAGGGATGAGCAACATTGCCAGTCTTTTTCCTGGTTATTTTATTTATACCTTTCCAAGCCAAACTCAAAGGGGTGGACCTATTTAATCCACTAACAAACTGTTCCCATTCCTGTTGCCTAAGTTCTTCCTTTCTATTCCTTGCATTTGTTAGTGCAGCTTGGAACGTTCTGAGCAGGTAATATAATAATTACGCTATCGTATGCAAAGAACTTTCGTAATGAAATTTTGAATTAGGAAAAAAACTTTGTGGACATACTAAACATCTCTACAGATGAGGCAGCCAGCATTTTCAGGGTAAACTGTTAGTTACTTTAACCAAAGGTCATTATTATTATTCTTATAATCATGGGGAGCGCTAAACCTGTAGGATTATACAGCGCATGTGAGGGGGGAGATGGAAGGTATTCAGGTTCAATTCAGGGAACTGGAGCACAGATCCAATTCCCTAGATCAAGAGCCCCTCACCAGCGTCAAGGAACCTTCCTTGAGGGGACCAACGAAGGGTTATACATTTGTCTGCGAATGACATCGAAACGTTGACGCTGATCACTTAGCAAACGAGGAAAAAATAAACCCATATCACACTATGCATTTCCTTCGAAAAAAAGACTTTGGCAACTGTATTAAGCATCAATAGGAGAGTACTGTACACGTATACATATTCCATTAACAGGCTAGACATTTGATTCATATAAAAAAGTCCATTAAGATACCTGTGCAGCCCAAGTATTTATATTCTGGGATTATATAAAAATCCTTAGATGCTGGGGATTTTTAGTTTGTTTTTACAGGCTATCGTTTCTTTTTATCCTACCTCATCTTATTTTTAAATCTTAACCTTAACTATGGGTTACCTTCCAAAACTGTCGACTAACACCCAGCCCCAGAATCTATTACTACACGAAGGTCACTAGACTTACATAATCTTGAACATATATCTGAGCCTACCCAGATCTCCAGTCCAGGACCTTTGTGGGTGCAAGTTGGGCACTGACCACTGAGCTACCAGTGTGAGGCCAACATTATAACTAGACACTTAGACCCTATGTATGGTATACCACTGTATTTTGTTGACGCTTAAGACATATAACAAGTTATTTAATGTTTAGTAATAGGACAATATACGGCTTATGACATTTTATTGAAAGCAAGTTCCGTCTACTGGGGACTTCATCAATTCTCAATTATTCAATACCCGCGAGTACCTGGCATGGCGAGCACAGTTATCCATGCCTTATACACATTACAGCTTTTATGTTTCTTGGTAAACCCACACTTCTTCAGCACTGACCTGAATTGTTACCATATTTTGAAACAAAAACCGTAGAATTCTAGATAATAAGGCACATTATTATTATTATTATTATATTCATGGGGCAGAGCTAAACCTATTAATTACAGTACAGCCACATACAAATTGCCCTGAAAAATGTCCTTATTGTAATCTGACATTATAATCTTTTATATAAAAACTTTCTCAACTAGCGTCTTAAGAGTCCCATTCTAGGACAGCGCTAAATGCAAATTAATTGTTCATCATTAAGCCTATGGAGCCATAGGAAAAAAATATGAAACGTATCCCAAAGATGGCTGGCTGTCGCAAAGCAGGAAATATTTGTATTTCTTAAAGTATACGATGGTACTAAACAGCTCGCGTATAATATTTTCTCTTAACAGTGTTAAAGAACTTACCACCAGTAGAATAATGCAAGTATATACACCAGAAAGAGAGAGAGACGACACACACCCAGCACTAGCAGACAACTCACTGATCAATAACGTTCTCACCGTCATTCAGGATCACCACCTCACATTTGTTAATACATTCAGACTACTACATTCACTCTAGGCTGAGTTAAATTAGTTAGCTATTAAACTGTTGGCATAATACGGGAATGTTTTAAATAGAATTATAACAAGACTTTATAACAAACCTTTCTTCATTATTTACCTCCAGATGGTGTGATGCATCAGTATAAAATATTTTATTTTATTTTATAAATATGTGTATTTAGAGGTTCATTTTAAAACTACATATATGACATATGGATAATCGAATTTCCCCCTCCCACCCTCCCCCCACCACCTGAATATTACCTTTTAAATACGACTTACATTATATATTAACTTAGCAAAATTAAAAAAAACTTAAGTTGAAATCTTTAAAGAAAGCTAATAAATTTTAGCTTATAAAAGCATTTTTTAATTGTTTTACAATATATATTTAATATACAAAGTAATTACTTTCAGAAAATCACTTTCATAAGCCATATTTAAAGTAGAGAGCAGAATCAAAACAGAGCAAGTGGCTGTGCCCCTTGTAAACACCCAGGTTTATTGTTTTGCTTCCCTTGGCAGACTTATGAGCTGGCAGTGATGGAGTGTGGACCTCTAACCATACTCTTGGCCTGAGCATTGGTGACGGATCTTCCGTGTGGTCTGTTTCCTGGGAAGGTTGTTATTATACAGTCCACTAGGCACCGGTCGGGACGCCGAACTTCTGCTCCTCTTTCAGCTCTGCGGATTTCTATGGCCTGGGGAAAGCTGGTTACTGACTCAGGTGGGGTGTGTGTGGACATCTGGCTCTGCCGGGACTTAAGCAAGGGGGTCCACCTGGCCTAATTGGGAACAGTTGTTCCCGTTCTGTTCCCGGAGGAAATCCTGTTTCCTTTTCAATTCCCGGCCAGATTTTTTGCGGTATATTTTTCCCTGACTCCCGGGAAGCAGCATAATCAATGGTGACCCACTAAATCCCCAACAACAATTTATATCCAAATCAAATGAACGAAACAAACAACTTTGTCCCTACAACGTGGAGTACAGCATACAGTTGTCATTAAGTGACAAACTATTTCATAGGAAGTTCCTTGTTATGCAGAGTATTTCGGGCAATCCTAAAATTACCTTATAATTACTGGATAAATATACAATTGTTACTTTATTAGAATGCTGTAGTAAACTGCAGTAATCATTTAAGAAATAAAAGGTAAATTTATTGCCCTGCTCCTTGGCTTTGCTTCCTGCTAAAGAAGTATTGCACAACAGTACTTAAAGTAATCAAAGTGGGGAAATTTTAGCCCCACTCATCATTGTAAAGGAGGTAATTTCATTACATATTTTTATAAATTTGGTTTAGCCATCAATTACCCCAGTGGAAATAAGGTGCATTGACTTTATTGGCTTATCTCAACTGTTATATCTGTTAATGTTCTGTCTGTCCATAAATGGTGTTTCCAAGTATGATGCATGTTACTAGTGTCATCTCTGTTGTAGGTATATTTTTCATATTATAATAATAAAAAAGAAGCGCTAAACCACAAGGGCTATACAGCGCTGCAGGGCAGGAAGGAAACGAGGGTATCAGGTGGCAAAAGGGAGAGGGATAACTAGTAGGTTACGGAGAACAGCAGGGCAGTGGATAGTGCAGGGGTAGAGGGTAGCAAGAGATTGAGGTAGAAAGGGCTGAGGGGAGTGCAAAAGACATCGTCATCAGAGTTTGTGGAGTAAGTCAGTTGTTGTCAAGAAGTCAATGAGAGAGTCAGGATTAAAGGAGGGTCCGTCAGCAAGAAGGGAAGGTAAAGAGAGACTAGTAGAGCAGAGACGACGTTGGAGGCAAATTCTGCATGCTCGTTGATAGAGGGGGCAGTCTAACAGAATGTGGCTAACCGATACTGGAACCTGACATGTCTCACAGAAAGGAATAGGGTGCCTTTTCATGAGATACCCATGAGTAAGACGAGTGTGGCCAATGCGAAGACGGGAGAAAGTAGTCTCCCAACCTCGACACTGATGACAAGAAGACGGCCAGTAACCTATACTTGGTTTAATAGAATGAAGTTTGTTACCGAGTAGATTAGACCAACATTGTTACCAATGGGTGTGAAGGTGGGTAGCTGTTACAGCAAAATAGTCCATAAATGGAACACCTCTATATGAAACTGGTAGGTCATGTACTGCTGACCGCACAGCAGTGTCTGCCTGTTCATTGCCCTGTACGTCAACATGATCAGGGACCCAACAAAAAACAATATCTTTATGCTTGGTAGAGATATGGCGTAGCCAAAATTGGATACGGAGGACTAGGGGGTGAGGTGTATCAAATTTTCTTATAGCCTGTAGAGCACTAAGGAAATCTGAGACAACCACAAATGATGACACAGGCATAGATGCAATACGGATAAGTGCTGCAAGAATGGCATACAATTCAGCTGTAAAAATGCTAGCCGAGGATAGTAAATGTCTTCGCACGACACTGTCCAGAAACATTGCTGTGAATCCGACGTCATCAGAAGACTTAGAGCCATCTGTGTACACTGTGATGGCATAAGAATGAGAGCAAAAGTGGTCAAGAAAAAGAAACCGGGAAGCTACCGTAGGCAGTTGAGCTTTTGTGCATGGGAGTGCGAAAGAACAGACTCGAACAGCTGGAACTTCCAAGGGGGGCAGGGAAAAGTGGGATGCTACCTGAACATAGAAAGGTGGTAACTGAAGGGAAGACGAGCGAATGTAGGCGAAGAGAAAAGGGACGGAGCAAACGGGCGATGAACAAATAAAGAATGTCTACTAACATCGGTGACTATTCTATATATGGAAGGATTACGGAGATCATGAGAGTGAACATAGTAGCGAAGGCAATGGGCATCATGGCGATCGGACAAGGGTGGAGTATTTGCTTCAGCATAGAGGCTCTCAACAGGGGAAGAGTGAAAAGCACCAAGGCATAAACGTTTCCAGGATAACCTACGGTCAAAGAGAAGGCCTAGAAACCTGACCGTATCACATTCAGGGATACGTGAGCCATAGAGGTACAAAGGATGAGTGGAGATGACAGAGCGTCTAGTGAAAGTAATTTGGTGAGTTTTAGTACTGGAAAATTTAAACCCATGCATGGTGGCCCAATTGGAAACACGGTCGACCGCATACCGGAGAGAAACTGTAATGAGGTGGCAGTCAGCGCCTGCACAAGCAATAGTGAAATCATCAACATAGAGTGATGACCAAATATTGGATGGAAGGAGAGAGGCCAAATCATTTATAGCAAGGAGAAAAGTGTTGTGCTCAGAACACATCCCTGGGGGACACCTTCAGCTAGGACAAAGTCTGGGGAGAGCATAGTATTAACCTGAACACAGAAATGTCTGTCAGTTAAGAAGTTCTTAAGGAAGGATGGTAGATTGCCTCAGAGGCCTAAGGAGTGGGCTTGCGCCAAAATGTTATACCTCCAAGTTGTGTCACATGCCTTCTCAAGATCAAAAAATATGGCAATAACTGAGTGGTTATTTTCAAAGGCATTACGAACATACATATCCAAGCGTAGTAAGGGGTCTATAGTAGAACGGCCCTTACGAAACCCATATTGACTAGTAGAGAGACTGTTGTGTGTCTTGATACCACATTAAACGTCGGTTTACGAGACGTTCCATCGCTTTGCAAATTGCACCAGTAAGAGCAACGGGACGATAGTGGGAGGCATCATGTCCTGTAGTACCCGGTTTGCGGAAAGGGAGAACAATGGCGGATTTCCACAGCTTGGGAAGAACTCCTTGTGACCAAGTAAGATTGAAGAGTTGTAAGAGGACTGTAAGGGCTGACTGATGTAAATGTTGTAACATCCAAATATGAATGCCGTCAGGCCCAGCTGCCGATGATCGGCAAGCCGAGAGTGTTGCTTCCAGTTCCAGAAGTGTAAAAGGCACATTAAAAGATTCTTCTTTGAAAGAAGAAAAGTCTAAGGGTGCTAACTCTCTGGCAGACTTTGAGGAAAGAAACGTTTGGCATAGATGGAGCCCCTGAGAAATATGGATCAGATGATTGCCAATTTCAATGGCAACGTCAAGAGGGTTTGCTATATCAACGCCGGCAACCTGCAGAACAGGAGCCGGGTCAGGAGAGTATTTACCACTCAGTTTCCGTATTTTTTTCCAGACTGCACTCGTAGAGGAAGCCGAGGTGATGGTGGAAACATAATCTCGCCAGCAAGTGCGTTTAGCGTCATGGATGACATGGTGAGCAACCGCTTGCTTCTGCTTAAAATAAAGAAGTCTCTCTGTGGTTCTATTGTACCGGTACCTGCCCCACGCAGCACGTTTCAAACATACTGCCCGAGCACAAGCAGGAGACCACCATGGCACGCACTTCTGGGAATGCCTGCCTGAGGTTTGGGGTATAGAATGAGAAGCTGCGGTTGAAACCGACGTCGAGAAGAGGTGTAAAAGCTCATCAGTGGAGGATGAAGAAGGAACCTCACTAAAAGCAGTGAGCTGTGAGTAAAGGCCCCAGTTTGCTCGATCAAATTGCCAGCAAGGGCTACGGAGAGGTGGTGAATATGAAGGAGAAGTAAGAATGATTGGAAAATGATCACTATCATATAAGACCAGTAGAACAGACCAGGCAAAGTCTAGTGCAGTGGAGGAAGAGCAAACCAAGAGATCGATGCAAGAGAGAGTATGAGGATCAAAATGGGTGGGAGTACCTGTATTTAAAACATGGAGGGGGTGAGAGGTGAGAAAAGCCTCCAACTGAATGCCACGCGAGTCACAATGAGACCCCCCCAGAGGAAATGGTGGGCATTAAAATCGCCAAGTAACAGAAGTGGTGGTGGTAAGGATGAAACAAGAAAGGCAAAATCTGGGATAGATAATGCCCGAGAAGGAGAGAGATACAAAGAACATATTGTAAACCACTTATTCAAGTGGATACGAGCTGCAGTGTAATGCAGCGAGGTATGAACAAATAGTGGACGGTACGGAATATCATTGCGTAGAAGAAGGGCACTTTCATTAAAGGTCCCAACAGAAAAAGGATCTGAAAAATACAATAAATTATAGCCTGAGATGGGTTGGAAAACAGCTGAGTGTAATTTTGGTTCTTGTAAGCAAACACCAATAAGGGAAAACCGGGATAGCAACATCTAAAGCTCACCCCGATTATCCCTGCAGGCCGCGGATATTCCATTGTAAATAGGCCATGATTGGCAACGAGGAAAATATCAGGAATCCGCAGGTAAGGGCACCTTTCGGACTAGAGGGGGTTAGAAAAGTCTACGTGTGGTGGCATCGGAAAATGTTCAAGCAGCGAAGGAACGGATCATTGCGAAGAAAGTTTTGGAGATGGAGGGGAGGGAAGAGAAGGAACAAGAGGTGGATCCGTGTCCATTGAAGGTTTAGTCTCTGCAATATATTCTGAAATAGCTTCAAGTGCTTCTGAATTCAAAGACATTGTATGGGAGACAATATTGGAGACAGAACTAGGAGTGTGAGTAAAGATTGGTATAGTAATGGACTGTACCAAAGTAGGGGGGGATGAAAGAGTGTAGGGAACTGGAGAAGAAATGTGGGAGGGGACAGAAGAGGCAGAAACCTGGGAGGTGGCAGAAGAGGGAGACACTTGGGAGGAGACAGGGGAGGAAGGCACAGTACGAGGAGGAGGGTGAACCTCCACACTTGTAATAGAGCTAGTGAGAGGGAAAGAACCAGGCACAGAGACTGGAAAGGTAAAATGTGGAGGTGGAAGAAGGGAAGGAGGGGGCAAAGAAGATTTGAGCAATGGAGATTTTTTGGAGCTTTAAGAAGTAGAGGGGCGATTGGTAGAAGGTGTCGTACGAGATCTTGTCGATACCGGGGCTTGTGAGGGAGAACTCAAAGATGTCAGAACAGACTGAGGTGCTGAAGTAGGGACGTCTGAGCCCAGGACAGCAAAAGAATTAGATGCAGGAGTGACTATGGGAGGGGTAACCACAGAGGAGGCTGCAGAAGATGGGACCCCAGAAGTGGGGGGACGTTTTGAAACACGGGAATAAGAAACACGGGGTAGTCTCCCTTAGAGGCGGAGATGAGAAACTGCCATAGCATAAGGGAGACCTTCTGCCTCTTTGAGGCAACGGATTTCACGCTCATTTAAGTAGACCTGGCAACGGCGAGAGTACGAAGGGTGAGCCTCACGACAATTAAGGCAAGAGGGAGGTCGACTGCAAGACGTATTAGAATGGTCATCAGCACCACAGACTGGGCATTCGGCTATAGATCTGCAATATTTCGCTGGGTGACCAAATCGCCAGCAATTTCTACACTGTTGCAATGTAGGGATCACCTTTCGAACTTGCAACCGATGTCCTGCTACATAAACAGAGGATGGGAGTTCATGGCTGTCAAAAGTTAATCGAGCCACATTGCAAGGGTATCGTCTCCGCCCGTAGGCAGGAAAGACATAAATGTCTACCTTGAGGATTGGGAGCTCTTGGAGTTCCAGCTGTTCAAGAATGTCATTGCCACATGTCTGGAAATTCTGTTGGACTATGGTATTGGGCAGAATGACAGTACCACTACAAGAATTGAGGGAATGATATTTTTCGATAGTGACAGGAATAGTATCGATATGTGAAAGAAGAGAAAGATCATGAGCTTGGGTAGCATTCTGGACAGTGATGATGCATGTACCGCTCTTCAGAACATGAAAGGAAATATCTCTACCAATATGGCGGAGGAGTGCCTGGCCAATACTATGGTCGGAAAGATAGGCAATAGAGGAAGTCGGTCGTAAAGTAAAGAATTTAGTCCATTGTACATTCCGATACTGAGCATGGAAAGGGAGTGCTTGACGTGTTGATCTTTTCTGAGAAGAACGAGGTGGTGGTGAAGTATCATCATCAGGCAATTGTCATTGGCGTTTAGGAGTGGGACCGGAGTTGGTCCGACGTGAAACAGGCTGGCGATTCAAAAATTGCCGCACTGTAGGGGGAGAGGCCGGAGGCATAGTCAAAGGAGAGCGGAGGTCAGACAAATCGAAGGAGTCAGTCGAAATCCCGGTACCTGAAGCGGGTGAGGAAACAGCACCAGCAAGAGGTACAGGGGCATCAGGAGTGTCCGAAGAGTGGTCAAAAAATGAGGCAGGGTCAGAATGGGGTGCGGTATGAAGAAGGGGCTCAGGGGTAGGAGGTTCATGAATTGGGATCTCCATGGTTAGGTTACTCACATCTGCCGAGCTACCTCAGTGGACAAAAGAGAGGGCGGCCGGATATCCGCCACAAAGCATACCTCCTTTGGCCACCACCCCCCGGTATCCGAAAGGTGCCTTCCAGAGATATACCTGTCGCCCGAAAGATGCCCAAAGCCACCCCACGGGATACCGGAGAGGGATCGGGACATCTCCAGGTGATCCAGATACCACGGCAAACTACGCCACCTCCAAGAACCTCAATGGAATGGGATGGACCCCGGTACCCTTCCTACCTAGGAACCAGCATGCCTGTGGGAAGAATCCTACAGGTCAAAAAGAGGAAGGGAATAAGGGAGGGACAGGGAGGAGGTGGAGGAGAGGGAAAAGGGAGGGTGGGGAGGATGGGATAGGGAAGGGGGGATTGGGAGGTAATTAGGTTCGGTCTGAGGAAGGAGACCAACAGGTCTAATTCCTCAGACCAAGAGCCTCTTCACTGCACCAAGGAGCCCCCCTTGAAGAGGTACATTTTTCATAAATTTTTGTGCATGTAAACTTTGTTACACTGCCCACAGAGGATGGTGTAGAGTCCTATAGTATTTTTTTTAGTACTGTAGTTTGAAATAGTCTAAACAGTAAGTATCAACTGACATTTGTTCTGTCATTCACAACCATAATGATTTTTTTTTTGTCTGTACAAGGAAAACCCCTCAGAGGAGGTTCCTTGATGACAGTGATGAGCTCTTGATCCATGGAATTGTACTTGACCTCTCCTTCCTTGGATGAATCCCTTCCCATTTCTCCAGGTGCTGTGTCACTTTATGGGTTTATTGCTCCCCCCATGAATGCAATAATAATAATAATCATCATGTAGATTGCAAGTGACATTGGCTCTGCTAGAATAAGAATTTCACTCCTCAACAGTTTGGCAGAGTTTCAAGATAAATTGTCACATCTTTCGTAATCAGTAAGAGGACACAGTTTGAAATTTTATTAGTTTCTCCTCCATTTCTGTATCTCCTTGGAATGCAACCATATGGGAAATGTTTGAGTGGTTTGAGGACCTGTCCAAGAACTCAGCACTTTATTTTGAGGTTAAGTAGGTAGTATGGAAATCTTCCTCTTGCATCATGAAAAAATTACTGATGTTTTCAACTGTGATTTATGAATTGTTTTTGTTATACAGTATTATGGTTATATCTGTAATGTGATAATAACTTAGTATTGAAGTGGTTAGCAACTTTTTATGCAAAATTCACTGAATAACCTATTTACTGTAGTTTTAATGCTTTGTAAATAATCCAACTCAACTTTGATAATTGTTTCCTTATTATTATATTATCACTAACTTACTGTATTTATATCTCCTTCCAGTATTTATAATGTACAAAAGAATCAGTAGTCATTATTTGCTCCACAAATGTCATTATATAAATTGGATTACATATTTATTGTTAGACTGTACTTGTTAATTAGAACTACTTTTATTTACAGCCACTGCAAATGTTGGTGATGCGGCGTGCTGCTGGATTACCCTTCTGCAGGAGGCCACTTCGTAATACTTTCTACATTTTGTCCTGTGTTGGGGCATTTATTCTTGGGAGTTTGATGACTTTAATGTCTGTTGATCCAATGAGATGTGATATTCATCAGTGTACAGAAAAAATCAAACGCATAGATGTGGAAGATACAAACAGCTGGCTTGGAATGTGGGGTCGTAACAGTAGAGGCCCTGAAAAGAGCGTTTTTCTTGTCATAGTACTGTTGAGTGCCCCAGTTAATGTAGAACAAAGAAATGTGATTAGACAGACATGGTTAAGTGAAGAAAAAGCAGACACACTTCATTTCTTTGTCCTTGGTGTCAGTAGCTTAAATGAGGACCTCAACACAACTATACAATCTGAACAAAAAAGATTTGGAGACATGTTGTTATTGAATAATGTTATTGATTCCTACCAAGCTCTTACTAAAAAGCTTTTGGCCTCTTTTGTGTATATACACTATAATGTTAAGTTTAGATTCCTGTTGAAATGTGATGATGATACATATGTTCAGGTTTCACAGCTTCACAAGGAACTCAAGAGTGTACCATATAAACAACGCTTATATTGGGGTTTCTTTGATGGGCGTGCAATTCCTAGAAAGAGTGGTCCTTGGAAAGAGGCAGACTGGGTATTGTGTGACCGATATTTGCCATATGCATTAGGGGGTGGATATGTTCTTTCTTCTGATGTTGTCACTTTTGTTGCTATAAATTCAAAATATTTGAAACTCTACAAAAATGAAGATGTTTCTCTAGGTACTTGGCTAGCTCCTTTAGACTTACATAGAGTACATGACACAAGGTTTGATACTGAATATAAATCTCGGGGTTGCAATAATGAGTATCTGGTGACTCACAAACAGAGCACACTACATATGCGTGAAAAATATAATTCATTGAAGGCCACTGGTCTACTTTGTCGAGAACAGTTCCAAGTTTACAAGTCATATAAATACAACTGGAATATGCCTCCATCACAGTGTTGTGTTCGAAATGATTCTTCATTGCCATAAAAATACTTTAGAATCTTTGTGTAACTAAAATGAGTAATAGAATTTTATTTGTCATTCTGTTACAGTAACTGTAGGTTGTATGCTCATACACTTAATCATGCCGAAGGAAATGGGATTCATGCTATGGGAAATGTTATATAATAAAATGTGAATTATGAAATCTTGGATAGCTAATTGTTTTCAATGATGTATTACAACTTAAATAGTAACATTCATGTATAGTAACTTGAATAGTAACATTCATGTAGAGTTTTCTGCTAAATTAATCTGCTTTGCATTGCAGATTGTGCATGGTGAGTTCTGAATATTTCATTATTTCTTTAGGGTAACAATAAACAGATATGAGCCACTGTTTTTGTCATATAAATCTGTTTGAGCATGAAAACTATTCCCAGTAACTTTAATCAGCATTATAAAGCCTCTTTATACAGCACTGTACTTATGTTGCTACACAATTAGATAATATATACATGAGAGGGCATGGGTGAGCAGGAGCTACCTCATATGGATCAATAAGCCTATTGCAGTGATCCTCTCCTACATTTTTATTTTCTGCAGTGCTGTACTCTTATGTTCTGCTGTATTAACCTTTTAACGGTCTCCCATGGTGATCTCCGTCATTGAAGCCAGTGTTGGTTACATAGATCTGTATCTTAACCACAGTGCCCTCGAATTTGTTTTGATTGGTAAATTTTAGCCTAGACCTGAAAGAATAGGTCTGTGCAGTGGGTGTGCACAGTATAAAAAAAATACTGCCACACTCAGTGCATGATGGAAACAGGAAGCCTCTGACCTTGTGTTTGTGATAAAACAGCAACTTGACACATTTTCCCAACTGGTTTTCATGGTTATGTTGACTGTTTCTTGAGGCTAATTGATAGACCAGAAGACAGTGGAGTGGAGAAGATTTTAGTCAGTTTTAGACTGGAAGTGGCTGGAAGCTCAAAATGGCAGAAATATCTGATTTTTGGTGATTTTTCTGAGGAAGAATAAGAGTTCTCTAAACCCCTTGTCTGTTTTATGGGTTTTTACTAATCTGCATTTTTACTAATCTCACTTTTTTGGGTTATCCTAAGTTCTTAACACATATGCTGCTATGTATGATAATCTCTCTAACTGTATTTGTGTATACCTGAATGAACTTACTTGCTTCAGGTGAGATGACCAGTCATTCTTGGTAATATTTTATTATCTGAGAAATAGGAGAGAATTTTTACTTTTTTGTGTGATGATGGTTTTGAAATGGAAGGCAAGTGTTCTTTCTTTCTTTCAACACACCGGCCATATCCCACAGAGGCAGGGTGGCCCAAAAGGAAAAACAAAAGTTTCTCCTTTCACATTTAGAATATATACAGGAGAAGGGGCTACTAGCCCCTTGCTCCCGGCATTTTAGTTGCCTCTTACGACACGCATGGCTTTCGGAGGAAGAATTCTGTTCCACTTCCCCATGGAGATAAGAGGAAATAGACAAGAACAAGAACTAGAAAGAAAATAGAAAAAAACCCGGAGGGGTATGTATATATATGCTTGTACATGTAGGTGTAGTGTGACCTAAGTGTAAGTACGTAGAAGTAGCAAGACGTACCTGAAATCTTGCATGTTTATGAAACAGAAAAAAGGACACCAGCAATACTACCATCATGTAAAACAATTACACGCTTTCATTTTACACTCGCTTGGCAGGACAGTAGTACCTCCCTGGGCGGTTGCTGTCTACCAACCTACTACCTAGGAAGGCAAGTGTTATTTATGTAAAAAAAAGCCTTAAGACCTGATTGATGAACATAGTGTTTACTTTAGACTCTGTATTTAAATTGGAATTTGTTGAATTTTGTGTAAAACTGCCCATAGTTGAATGAAGAGTTTTTCTGCTGAGTTGATAGTATAGAAGTCATATTAACAAAAATAACCAGGAATTTTTTTATATGAGGAATGGAATTGGTGTGAAATACAGTGGTCCCTCGTTTTTCGTAATTAATCCGTTCCTGGAGGAGCTACTATAAATGAAATTTGTGATTTGCGAATCAATTTTCCCCATAAGAAATAATGTAAATACAATTAATCCGTTCCTGACACCCAGAAGTATTAAAACAAAAAAATTTTTTACATGAAATATACATGTAGTACATAAACAATACAATGGGAAATGATGAATGAAACATTAACAGCATAACACTTACCTTTATTGGAGATTCTTCTTAGTGTATGGGAGACTGGAGGAGGAGAGAGATTGGATTGTTTACAGTTTGGAAGGGGAATCCCCTTCCAGCAACACCTCAAGTACCAATTGCTTCTCTGGGGTTGCTTCTCTTCTCTGTTTCTTAATGCCACTATTACCACCTTGAGAGTCACTCTAGTCCTGTCTCGCAAAGTAACTGTGGAGAGAGCTCTGTTTCTGGCGTCTCTTTACCACTTCCCTAAAATGGCCCAAGACTTTGTCACTGTACATATTTCTCACCTTCTTTATCACAGGCTTGGCACTAGGAGCTTTCTTTGGAGCCATGGTAGCTTATTTAGTACTTGCAAGCACTAAAATGAGTGGATTATGAAATACAGTATTTCGTAGGAGCACTTGAGGGGACCTTCACTCACTGGTAAACAATGCCAGACTGGCTGGGTAGGGAGGCCTCCCTGGCTCACACCATGCGTACGCATCCCAGACAAACTACTATTCGCGAGTTAACCTATGAAAAGCGAGTCCATGTTTATACGAAAATACCCCTATGATTGGCGAAATTTACGATTGCCGAGAACTACTAAAAGCGAGGGACCACTGTAGTCCTCAATTTGGTTGAAATTGTTGATGTACGAATTGCACTCGGACTGCCAACTCCATGCCTACTTTATTCCATGGGTTATCCTTGAAATTTTGCATTTTTTTGTGTCATTACCATCAGAAAAAGATTCTCTACTGTTCTTGAAGATAAAATTATTATTTTAAAAATGACAACATTGACATTTTTCATATATTCTTAGCTAGATGTGAATAGGACTTCCTTAGCACAGACTTCATGTAGATTATTGTTATTTATTTATTTATTTTTTTTTTTTGTATGTTGGTTTGTTTATTTTCTTGTTAAATGTTTGACTTTAGGAGTGTTAGTGTATGTGATTGTACAGCACTTTGTGATTCTAATAATTGCCATCCAAGCAAGGGGCAGTAGCATTATTGAAGTACTCCTTCATTCTTAGAGACTCACAAAGTTTCTAGTCAGGTAGTAGTAGATTCAGAAAAGATTAAGGATAAACAGTGGCTTGACAATAGAGCTGTAGATGAGTGGAATGGGTGGGTGTGAATATGACCTGCCTAGCTTAGACCGATGCTCTTTTATTTTTAACTATTAGATTGGGAGACTACATCTTGCACAACAAATTGCATTACAAACTTGACCTCAATATAGTGACTTCATTAAAGTTTGGATTTCCTTTTATTGCTTTCCATATACATCCTCACTTAACCGTTTCAGGGCTTCGGCCGTACTAGTACGGCTTATGCACCAGAGTTTTTGACGTACTAGTATGCCTAAATTCTAGCGCCCCCAAATCTAGTGAGAGAAAGCTGGTAGGCCTACATATGAAAAAATGGGTCTATGTGGTAAGTGTGTGCAGTATAAAAAAAATCCTGCAGCACACAGTAATGAGAAAAAAAAAAACTTTGACCGTGTTTTTGGATTAAAACAGCGACTTTGCACTGTATTTTCGTATGGTATTTATTGTTGTATTCTAGTTTTCCTGGTCTCGTTCTATAGAATGGAAGACATATTACAGAAATTGAGATGATTTTGACTGATTTTACAATGAAAAGTACCTTGAAATTGAGCTCAAAGTAGCAGAACTGTTTGATTTTTACCAAAGTTCAAAAGTAAACAAATCATGCTAAGCGTCCGATACATGTCAACTGGTGAGTCTAATATTCTTTCACAAGTGCGCTGATATTATTTATACCATTTTTTACTCTAATGCAGTAGTCTGCATAACAGTAAATCTTCTATTTTTTGTGAGAATAAAAATTCAAAGTGGAAAGCAAAAGAATGTAAGAGGGGCATTGGGACGTGACTAATGAACAGAGGAAATGTCATTTTAGTGCCAGGAATGTCTTTCTTGTTTATTCTGGACCCTATTTGGAAATTGGCATCTTTTGAAATTTGTGTGAAATTGGCAAAATTGCTAAATTCTGACCACTGTATTGGATAGTTGAAATCGGTAAATGGGTGGTTTCTTGCACTCATTCGATAGAAATAATGGAGTTCTAGTGAAATATTCATGATTTTTGTCAACTAGTACAGTGGAATTGGCTGAAAATAGGGCTCAAAGTGGGCAAAATCACCGATGCGTAAACATCATCGGGACCGCTAACTTTGCGAGAGCATAATTCCGTAAGTTTTCCATCAAATTTCATACTTTTGGTGTCATTATGATCAGGAAAAGATTCTCTATCTTTTCCTAAAATATTATTTTTTTTTTTTTTGAAATTTGGGCGACCCTGAGAACAAGTCTCTGAGAGGGCCTGTTGACCCTGAAAGGGTTAACAATGGAGTTCCATTCCTAAGACCACGTTGGTAAACGAATTCGTTACTAAGTAAGGAGCATATTATAATGGTATGGTGCCATAAACAGATTAGAGATAAATCAGCTCTAATATACATTATTTAGGTGTGCTTGAGAGCCTGTTGTAAGTCTGAGTTGTTGGTAAACAAGTACATCGGTACACGAGGAGAGGCTGTATTTGTGTTAGGCTAAATTTTAAGAAGATAAAATATTTCACTGGGAGACTATTTTTGTATAGTTTTGCATAGAGTAAGCCAGTGTAAAACTGGTCTCAGTATAGAAACTCCAAAACAGTACACATGTACAATGCAGTATGTACTTTAATTCTTAATTGTTCTAATGTTTTTGAAAAATTAGGGTAGACTTCCACAAGAGATATATGAAATTGGTAGATTTTGTTTCAGATTTTCAGGAGTCTATGTGTACATAAGATCTATCAGTACAAGAACACAGTACATGATGATTTTCTTTTTTGGATTATATATAAATTTGTAATAAATATTTGGATGTAGTTAAGTTTCATTGTCTTTGCAATGAGGTTTAAAGAACAGCAAAATTTTCACTTTACTGAAAGGTGACTTCCTCATAATTTTTCTCCTTTTCTACATTTTCCATATATATTTTTTTTTTCAACAAGTCGGCCGTCTCCCACCGAGGCAGGGTGACCCAAAAAGAAAGAAAATCCCAAAAAAGAAAATATTTTTATCATCATTCAACACTTTCACCTCACTCACACATAATCACTGTTTTTGCAGAGGTGCTCAGAACACAACAGTTTAGAAGCATATACGTATAAAGATACACAACATATCCCTCCAAACTGCTAATATCCCAAAACCCCTCCTTTAGAGTGCAGGCATTGTACTTCCCATTTCCAGGACTCAAGTCTGGCTATATAAAAATAACCAGTTTCCCTGAATCCCTTCACTAAATATTACCCTGCTCACACTCCAACAGATCGTCAGGTCCCAAATACCATTCGTCTCCATTCACTCCTATCGAACACGCTCATGCACGCTTGCTGGAAGTCCAAGCCCCTCGCCCACAAAACCTCCCTTACCCCTTCCTTCCAACCTTTTCGAGGACGACCCCTACCCCGCCTTCCTTCTACAGATGTAAATGCTCTCCATGTCATTCTACTTTGATCCATTCTCTCTAAATGACCAAACCACCTCAACAACCCCTCTTCAGCCGTCTGACTAATACTTTTATTAACTCCACACCTTCTCCTAATTTCCACATTCCGAATTTTCTGCATAATATTTACACCACACATTGCCCTTAGACAGGACATCTCCACTGCCTCCAACCGCCTCCTTGCTACTGCATTCACAACCCAAGCTTCACACCCATATAAGTGTTGGTACTACTATACTTTCATACATTCCCTTCTTTGCCTCCATAGATAACATATACCTCAACGCACCACTCACCTTTTTTTCTTCATCAATTCTATGATTAACCTCATCCTTCATAAATCCATCCGCCGACACGTCAACTCCCAAGTATCTGAAAACATTCACTTCTTCCATACTCCTCCTCCCCAATTTGATA